GCTTAAACTGCAGGGTATGAGGGATGCGAGGGAGACGTTGGTTTCTTTGAGGAATATCGAGACGGTGCTTTCTCGAATAGAAGAGAGTTTGAAGATAAAAACTAATCAGCCTGAAATGATTAAATGTTCGTCTGCCGTGCCTGAACCGCCATCGTTACAGTCGGGTTGGATTTGCCGTTGAAGGAGTTGAAGATGAAGCTCCTTAAGGATGAAAAGGTGTCTATGCTTGTGCTGACTGCTGCTGGAGGATGTGGGAAAACCACCTTGGCTAAAATGTTTTGTCAAGATCAAGAAGTCAAGGGTATGCTATTTACGATTTCAATTTTTTTTTGGTTAAGTTTTACATCCTAGTTAAAAAGTAATACACCGTGTAGAGGATTATGCGAGTAGACTTCGCGCTAGGGCCTATAAAATGTCCGCTATACTCCCTCCAAACATACACAGTAACCAAAATTTGTTAAAGAAAATAAAAACTACAACGAAGGGGACATGAAACTAAAGCGCACGAAAGGAATATAAGAAAGATTAGAAAGACCTATATGGGCATGCCCAACAAATAACTAGTCGTGATATGAACCTGACATGATTTTCTTTGTACTAGTGGTAAGTTAAGCTGATGCCTTCCTCTTAGAGTTAACAAGTCTTGCAATGAGCTCCTGTTTGATTACTTGCATGATCTGAGAATTGCAAACATATCTAGTCAACCTTTTATTAACACCTTTCTTACATCCTGTTTGGATAGATACATTCAAGAATAACATCTTCTTTGTCAATGTCTCGAAAAAGCCCAACTTGGACCTTATTGTACACCAACTATATCAACAGAAGGGGTCCGAGCTGCCTGCTTTTGAAAACGAAGTCATGGCAGCAAACTGGTTGCAACAATTTCTGAAGGAATCAAGACAAAATCCTCTACTGTTTGTCCTGGATGATGTTTGGTCAGGATCAGAGTCCCTTCTTGAGAAGTTTGATCAATTCAAGTTTTCAAATTACAAGATTTTGGTCACATCAAGATTTGCATTTCCAAGATTCGGTTCTCCTTATCATTTGTCATCATTGAATGATGAAGATGCAATGGCTCTTTTTCACTACTCAGCATCCTTGGAGGACAAGAGCTCTTATACTTACGAAGATCTTTCGAGAAAGGTGATTTCTTAGTCCACAATACCATATATATTTAAATGATTATTTATGCCTCAGAAAAGGGTAAAGAAAAAACGTTTGAGCATCCACACACGTTAATGAACCGTGAAGAATGAAGTAAGAAGAATGAAAGAGTAAACAGTTTACCTTTAGGCTTTAGATGATTTTCAACGATAAAAATCAAATAATAGTAACTGAATTCATTTTGGATATTTAAATTGCAGATTATCAAGCGCTGTAAGGGATGCCCACTTGCCATTGCATTGGTCGGGAGATCACTTCGCCGCCAGCCTTTAGAAATCTGGCAGAAAAGAGTTGTAGAATGGTGCAAAGGTTCCTCTATTCTTGATTCTGACAAGGATTTACTTGCTTGCCTCCAAAGCAGCTTAGATGCCTTGGATAACGAAAAGGCTATCATCAAGGAATGTTTCCTCGATCTAGGTTCTTTTCCAGAGGACCAAAGAATTGCTGCTGCCGCCCTCATTGATATGTGGGCAGAGTTATATGGTCTAGATGAGGAAATTCTGACCATTGCCAACCTTCACGAGCTCACCTCCCGAAGTTTAGCTAATCTTGTTGTCACAAGGTATGCAAGTTGCTCATAATTTTCTATGTCAATGTATGCTGGACAAATCATTAAAGAAATTAGTATTGATCATCCAGGCATGAGAGGGAGGCCGATGGTTATTACACTGAACACTTTGTCACCCAGCATGACATGCTTAGAGAGTTGGCGATCCATCAGGCGAGTCAAGACCCAATAGAACATAGGAAACGACTATTTATGAACATATGTGGGGACGAACTTCCTAAGTGGTTGACAGAACAAAAGTATCAAGCGATCAAGGCTCAACTACTATCTATCTCAACAGGTTCCATCAGTCTTTCTTAGTAAATATTTATACATGTGCACTCGGGACACGTGTGCACTCACAGACATGCTCCTTCATACTAACTTCAATAGGACTTCCACACATTTAATTTCAACCCACGCTAATATCTTAATGCTCACTGTTTGCAGATGGTGCCTTCTCAGCAAAATGGCCAAGCATTCAAGTACCCGAAGCAGAGGTTCTAGTTCTGAATTTTCAAACAAAGAACTATGCCTTACCTGAGTTTGTGGAGAAAATGGATAAACTAAAAGTTCTAATACTAAATAATTACGGTTCGTTACCTGCAGAACTAGATAATTTTGAACTACTTGGTTCGCTACCAAATCTTAAGAGAATTAGATTAGAACGTATTTCAATTCCTTCCATAAGCAAGGTCCTCAAACAGTTGAAAAGTTTGCAAAAGATTTCTTTTTTCATGTGTGATATCGGCCAAGGTTTGGTCCAAATTTTAGATGCACTGCCAAATCTAGTGGAATTGAACATAGATTATTGCCATGATCTGGTGCAACTTCCTGCCAACCTCTGTGACCTTGTTCACCTTAAGAAGCTTAGCATCACCAACTGTCATAAGCTATTTGCCTTGCCTGCAGACATCGGAAAGCTAGTCAATCTAGAAGTGTTGAGGCTTAGGTCTTGTGCAGAATTGTTAGAGTTGCCACGCTCTATTAGGAACCTTATTGTTTTGAAATTTCTTGACATATCTGATTGCTTTAGCGTAGAGGAGTTGCCCGAGGACATTGGTGCAATGTGCAGCATGGAAAAGATCAACGTGAGCCAGTGTTCAAGACTGAAAGAGCTGCCTGCTTCTGTTATGGATATTCAGCAATTGAATGAAGTGATATGCGACGAGGAGACAAAAACTTTATGGGAACCCTTCTTACCATTTCTCACAAACATACACATAAAGGTGATCAAAGAAGATATCAACCTAAGTTGGCTCAACAAGCTTCCACCCTAAGGCCATGGTCCTTCCATCAATGAGTGTTGGTGCAATGTATGCAGTGTGATTGTGTAATGTTATTTTTCTTTTGTAATTTACTACTATTTTATGTTTTATGTGTTTGTAAATAACATGGCCGCACTGTAGGATTACTGTCATTATCCACCATGGGTATTATTGTATATAACATGTCTCCACTTTTCATTGTTCAACTCTTCATTGATTTTTCATTGATTTATCCAATTAATGGGTGTTGATGCAATTTATTGCAGAGAGAAGTGCCTGGAAAGAAAATAAGTATTCAAAAATAACTACCTTTAATTTATCCAATCCATGAGTGATGGTGCAATGTATTAATTTAATTGTTGTTTCTCCTCTCTCTCTTGATTCACCTCTCCATTCCCCTTCAGTTAAATAGCCCACAACATTATTGTTTTATTTCAAGGTAATGCTAAGGGAGTTTAAATTCAAGTACGTTGTACGCATAACACCATTGAAAGAACAAACGGATTACAAAACTAGAACTATTATTGACATCGAACACTCCAAATTTGCCGAGAAGGCTAGATAAACTACAGAGACTACATTGTGATTGATTTGTTATTCTATAAAGTTACAAAGTACCATATATATAAACTAACCTAACCCTAATAGGCAAGGAAACAAAACCCTAATATTTGTCATTCTATAGACTACAGTGATTGACTTGTTATTCTACCGAATTAATTAGAGCATGTCAATACTTTAAAAGCCCGACTTGGCTTTGCAATATGAAGGCCACAAAGAAATTCAACAACTACAAATCAATTAGAGCATGACAATTAAGTAGACGAAGGGGTTCTTTTCTCCAATTGATCTCTTGAAGTATTTTTGTATAATTAGTTTTGAAACAAAATAATTGTACGTTAGAAAAGATAGCTGATATTATATATACTAAAACCCAGTTTCCGGCACTGTTCAGAAATAGTAAAAGGGCGGAAATGCCCTCGGTTTCTTCCTTGCTTCCCGTATTGTTTACGTTTTGCTACAGTATAAAGTCCATTTTACCCTCATTTGCCACGCGTGTACTTCGTGAACCGCAACCTTTTTCCTCTTCTGGATTCTTCTTTCCATCTTTCTCTCTCTCTCTCTCACACACCCTTTTGTTTCTCTCAAACCTCTCTTTGCCTCGCTCGCTCTCCGATCTCCAGAGAACCTCTCTTTGCCTCACTCTCCGATCTCCAGTTCTCTCTGTGTCTCCTTTCTTCCAGAAAACACTCAAGTTAGTCAAATTTGTTCAGATCTTTTTGTCGGGGGCTACAGATGGCAGCGCTCTCTTGCTGAAAAATAGTGGTCTCGATTTAAAGAAAATTTGAAGCCCATAAAAGATCATGTTTCCTGCTGCCGATTTGGTGTGGGTAATTCTCTGCTTTGAATGTTATGTGCGTGGGAGTGTAAATTTGGATTTATAAATGGGTTTTTTTGTTCAAATTTTTTGGTTGTGATTTTGGGGATTTTGTTTGTAGCTTCGGATTCTGGGTGATGATGGTTAATTTGGTTTTGCTTTCGGTTTCAGGAGATCGGGTTTTTCGAATTTATGACTTTTCTTTGAAGCCTGCGAAGACCTCTGTGTTTAAGGTGAGTGCTTTTGAAATTCCACGGTTTTGATTCGACTTGCAGGCTGAGGTGTGATTTTAGATATGAAATTTTCAAGCTTCAGATCCCTTTCCACCGTTACTACCACCAATTCACCCATACCTCAGCTTTCTTTCCACGATTCCTCAAAACGTTCATATCGGTACGTACACTCAAGTCCGATTCTATTTGAAAAGACCGATTATTTTCCCTTTTTTTTTTCCAGCAAAAAGCACCATCTTTGTCTAATTTTTTTGAATTTTTCTCAGGAATTCTGGCCCATCGTTGAGATTTTCTGTATGGGTTTTGGTTCTTTTGGATTTGGAAGGAGATGGAGATCGGAGTTCGTTGCTATCATTTATTCAACTTAAATTTTTGGGGATTTGGTTTGAATTTCTGGGTAGGCAAATGTCACCTTTGTTCAACTTAAATTTAGTTTTTTTTTTTTCCTCAAATTTATTTGATGGCATGATTTTTTGATCCTTACTAAATAGTTGTTAAGAAATGTTGAAATTTTTAATAGTTCTGAATCTTCTGATTTCTTCTGAATTTGTTTTTGTGTTTTACTATCATGTCTCATGCTTTCGAATATAATTGGGTAAATTTTCCCAAGAAATGGGTAATAAATGGAAGGCTCATAACATGTAATAGAAGAGAGTTATCAATGATGATAATAATATTTTACTATTAAGTACTTCAGTTGGACATCTCACAAGACATAAAAGCCCTGTAAGTTTTCTTCTTTTTCAAAGTGCATGTCTTTTTGGTGATTCTTTCAATGCTTGGACATCTGTTAATTTTGTGTGATTTTGCTTTGGATGGTTGTTGGGTTTGATTGGATTGTACACTTATTTAAAAATGGATAATCATTCTTCGAGTTAATGGCTGAATTGTAGGCTTGGCTTGATTTTGCCTTTTAATTTCCTCTAAAGTTGTAGGTTATAATTCAAATTATGGCTATCTTGAAGCATGTATAATTTTTGTTCTCTTTTATGAATTCAGAATAGGCGTGTGTGTGTGTGTGTGTGCATGTGTGATTAAAGCAATGATGTTTTTGTTTGAAATTTCGAAAGTGTTTGTTTTCCAGATTTTTAATCACTAATCTGTTAGAAGCCAAAGGATTCATATGCAGACAAAATGTTTGGTGTGTAAAGTTTAAAAGAATTCATTTTTATGAAAAAGATAAATAGGTAACTATAAGAACCTGCTTTGGTTATATTAACGGGGGAATGCAACTATAACAATTCATTAAATGCGATGATATAATCTGATAGTATGGATTCTTTTAAAGATTTTTTGCGATTATTTTACAGTAAGTATGTTGAGTAATTTTCTGGAGAGTAAACCTTTTAGATTTGAATATGCAGCAATTAATGCACTAGAAGGATTCCTCTTTCAATGGTGATTTGTCTTTTTGACATATTCATTGCAAGGACAAATGAGAAGTAATCGGAGGCTGTTGTACCTTACATTAAGGTTCATTCGTTGTGTTATATTTGGATTTTATTATATAGTACTGTCTATGTATGGTTTTTGAAACGGTGCTCAAAATTATCCTGTGTTCTTTTTGTATATACAGAGTGAACAGTTCATCCTTTGCGAAGGACAAAACAGGAGACAAGGTTTTTTACTCCATATGGGACGGAGAGGTTAGTTTGATTGTGGTTACTTTTTTGGTTTAGTTGAATTGAAAATTGGTCATATTGAGTCGAATTTAATCATTTGCTTACATGGATTGAAATTACTGGTTCTATTAATGCTGATGACGGAAATCAACCCGAGTTCAAATTAAAACAATATGATAATTTTGGTTATGGTAAGAACTAAAAACTTAGTACCCTTTTTTTTTTATCTTTCCCCTTTTTGGAATTAAGAAATTAGGTTACCTTTGTATACCTTTTCTGTGATCGTTCACTGAAAATTTGTTAATTTTTTTAACATATATAAGGAAATATTTTTACTTTCTAGAATCCATTTCTAATGTTTAGAGTTTGCATGATTTTACATTGTCAAATAGTATATAAGTTTCCATGTTTAAGTGTGTCAGTGTGCTGTTGCACTACTTTAATTGGATGTGATAAAAGGTGACATGTTTTCGTCAAATTGAAGTTTTTAGTAATGAGTTTTTTCAATGCTGTTATTTTTTGAACATATAAAACGATATCGTTATGTTCATTACGGTGAGAACTGGGAACTTAAAACACTATTTTTTTAGCTTTTCATTTTTTGAAGAAATTGAATTACTTTTTTTTTTTTTTTTTTTTTTTGTGTTTATATATATCTTTTCTTCATTCAATTAAGTATTACACCATTTAGTTTAAATTGCAAAGACAGATGTATGAACCGTATTTGATATAGAACGTTTTTTCAACCGTATTTAGTTTAAATTGCAAACAATATTTTCTCCTATTTTTCAACCATCTTTTATCTAATATAAATTTGTCTTTTTCAATCTTTGTTATACATCTAAGATAGTGAGCCAAAACAAATCACAAAGGCAAACACACAACAGTTTGATGAGGTGCTGTAAAATTGCTGAAAAAGGTAACAATACAAAATCCTTATTTTCTTCACGGTATAATTCTACTGTCATATAAATTCATTTCATGTGTTTCAATATTTTTCTTTCCTTGCCTAGGCTGCTTCCTCAACAATCAACAGTACTGGAGAAAACCTTTTAGCGTTGCAGTAAACTACTTTTCTCATATTTTGTTATTTTAGATAATACAATACAACTTCTGCAACTTTTGGTGTGTCTGCTGCATATATAAAATCTTTCATATGTAAAAATCATCATTTCCTTTTCAATGTAAATAATATTAATCTTTTATCTTATAGTCTTTAAATCTTTCAAACATAATTTTTCTTACAATTTTTAATCCCGCAGTAACGCGCGGGCACAACTTTCTAGTTTTCACTAAAAAGGAGAGTTGATTTTTATTAATTAACATTGAAGTTTTTGCATATATATTTTGAGAAAATAAGGGAATTACAATATATAGCCTACTCACATAAAATTTTCATTTTTTGTCATTTTTCGTTAACTTATAATTCATGCAAACGGGATCAATTTGTCAATAAATGTATAATACACATAAATGAGATCAATTCATATGTGCATTGAACATGACAAATCTCATGTGATCAGTAGGGAAGCACATAATTTCCTTATGTTTTCATAGCATAAGCACAAAAACTTTAATGTTGATAAATGTTGGGGGACTTTTTAGGTCGAGGTAGATTTGAACTTTGAGAACGTCCTATTGTCTCCTTGGTGCGGATTCATACCAAGTCTCGGAATATCTCGAAAGAGTTAGCTTGTCTTAGGAAATACCCCGGTAACATCAACGGCTCGAAGATGACATGATTGATCAAGATAATGACTTGCTCAAGTGAATTGTGGTGTCGAAGCTAGAAGATTATAAGTTTACATGAGAGAGAAGGGATTTGCATGGTTGCATGGCATTCTTTGCTGGGTGATTTGGGCTTTCTTAGGGTGATAGTAAGGCTTCTAATGGCTGGGATGTTTGATGGAAGGTTGTGGGAATTACTAAGGTTGCATGAATAGTGATGCTTGAGGCCTGAAGTATGCTTTTGGACTAAATGGAACTCTCTAGGCTTATTTCCTTAGTGGTTCTCTCTCTTACGTTCTCTCATATCTCTCTCTATATTCTACCCTCAGATCCCCCTCTAATGGCTTATCCTCCTTATTTTAGTGAAGGATTATTCTCTAGGCTTCTAAGGAATCTCCCTTGTGGCTTGGTCTTCCCTTTCCTTCTCCCTAGGCTTCCTATCATTCATCTTTTGGTATAAGATAGTTGCACTGTTGAGACCTGCAGTTTACTTTTTCCGGAGACGCGCTTTCCTAGGGCATCCTTTCACAGACGTTAATTCTAGTAACACGCTTCACGGCTTTGCATGTTGACTATCTGTGTAGGCTGGGAAGGGAAGGTCAGCATTAAATGCCTGACTTGCTGGGCTTAGCATGCATTTAGTGTAAGAATCTAATTTAGTTATATCTAAGGGAGTTGGTTTGCTAAGGAAAGGGGTAAACTAGGTTAATTCTTTCTCAATTACGTGGAATGCAAAGGGTATGGGCTTGGATTTTTGGGCCCCAAACAACCCAAAGTCTTCCATGACCTCGATTCTACGTAGGCCCGATAACCTTCTGTAACCATCCATACCATAATCCACTTAACAAACCCCAAATATATGGCTTGGGCTAAGCATGATTAATGACTAAGGAAGCATGGCGTGATGAATAGGCATGAGCATGGCATGTTTGTAAATATATTCCTCGTCAATCTGGTGCCTGGACATATGTTTGAGCTTGAATGTAGGCTTTGCATGACAATTAGGCCTTAAGACTTAGTTAGATTGGTATGTGACATTTGTGGGCCCCAACATTAGCCCCTTGATTATTTGGGCTATGAGAAATCTTGAGTAGGCTGAATAATCAACCTCAGGCCTAAGGGATTCTTTTTTAACGTGGGGTTCCTAATGGGACTCTTCATTTTCCTGTATGGCAGATAATTACTCCATGCCGTTGTGCTCGTTTGCTTCCCATGCACGTCCAATCATACATAAAAATTTTGGGTATTCTTTCGCCTCCACTTTGTAACCGTTACAAACTGCTCTCCTTCCTAGGACTTTTCTTCTTCTTTTTTCCTTCTCTGTTTTCCCTAGTGATGGAATTAGGTATGTGTCTTTTCTCTTTGATTATGGGTTCCAAAGATTTTGGGGTTTCATCATGGACACACAAGGGGTGCCTGTTTTTCCTTGGAGAAATTGAACTCCACTCCTTGGGTAGTCTTGTTGCTTTGAAATCTTGTGCGTTTGTTATGTGATTTCTTTCCTGCTTTTGATGTGTACTGTGCAATTGTCGTCGAGCTTAACTTGCTTGTGTGTTGATGTATGCTTGTGCAAGACCGATCGATTAATTGTATCAATTTACGTGGGATGATTAGCTTGACTGTATATAGCCTGTTTTGCTTGGATATGTGTATAACATACTTTTCCTGGTGAGATGTTACAAGGCCTTGATAGTATGGCATATGTAGGGAAAGATGCATGTGTTTTGTGTGATCGCACGTAGGGAAAATAGTCCCACATTAAAGTCTTAGACTTTTGCATAAAAGACTTTGAATTTTATGAACGTACCATTTTGCTTTCCCAGGGTACATTTGCTTGTTTTCCCAAGATAGATTCCTTACCATGTTTAGCTTTGTATATTTGCATGTTTCTTCCTACATGTTGCATTGGCTAGTAATACTTATGGTTTGAAGCTTGCTTTGCATAGGTGCATTATGGCTACGGAATCACCAAAGTGTATAACTGTGATTGATGGATCCTTCACTACTGAGGACCGTCTTCGATGAGGTAGGCCGCTGCCTTCTCTTGGTTCTTACAGCAAGACTTCAAGGAGGATAGGCCTTTCTTAGACTTTGTCTCTCATATCGATCCCAGGCGCATTTCCCAGTACTGCATCAAGAGTAGGTTGTTTCTCGCCGTGCCAATCCATTTTGAGTTCTCTTGCAGTGAGGCCACTGGCTGGGCAAATTGAATGGATACTGAGCTTCGGTTTGTGAAGCAGTGCACGACCCTGACAATGGCCAAGGCTTTGGACGCTGTCTTCATGACCAAGAAGTAGGTTATTCGCCTTGAGCCTGAACTTCTTCGCCATGTTGTTAGGAGGTAGAGCTTAGAGATCCATTACTTTGTTTGTGCCTGGGGAGAATGTACCCTCACTCTGGAAGATGTCGCCAATATCATGCATTTTCCAATTGCGGGTAATGTGGATCCCTTCCACTATGTTATTCCTCATGTAGATGCTGATACCTTTGATATTTCTAACTCTCGGTTTTTTTTTTTCTGAACCTTGAGATGTTGTAATAGCGGGCTATGAAGACATTTTTTTCCTCACTTTGCTTTTACTTTTTATTATAATTTATTTTTCAATAGCTAGCTTATCGCTTTTGAAAAATGGCCATAGAGCCGCCTTGCTTAGCATTTTGCTTATTTGCCTTTGACTTCTCTCTTTGGCTTTGGATGTTAATATTGAATTTAGCATAATGCTTGTATGTCTTTAATCTTGCAATGACATTGGCTTTCTCTTACTTCGAGTGCATGCGAATTTGCTGGATGAAATTCTGTTTAGGCTTTGAGAGAAAGGCTTGAGCATATGCTTACTTTCCTGTGGAAATAGCTAATCCTGCCACTTGGCACTTTGCCAGTGAGTTCCCTAAGGAAAGATGAAAAAGATCTCATAGTTTCCGTAAGGAAGCAAAGCATGTCAGGAAAGCTTGACTTGCTTAGCATTAATTTTTCATTGATAGGCTTGGCATGTTACATGAGTATAGCTTTGAAAAAGCTTTATTTGCTTGACACAATGGTTTTGCAGGGCGTCTTTGCTTGGCATGTTGCATGAGCATTGCATTGAACCATTGAGCAACTTGCTGGCATTGATTTTGCACTGATAAGCTTGGCATTGATTTTGCACTGATAAGCTTGGCATTGATTTTGCATGATTGCTTTGCAAAAAAAGCTTTATTTGCTTGACTCAATGGTTTTGCATGACGTGTTGGCTTGGCATGTTGTATGAACATTGCATTGAACCATTGAGCAGCTTGCTTGGCATTGATTTTGCATGATTTCTTTGGAAAAAACTTTATTTGCTTGACTCAATGGTTTTGCATGGCGTGTTGACTTGACATGTTGTATGAGCATTGCATTGAACCATCGAGTAGCTTGCTTAGTATTGACAGGCTTGGAATGGGCTTTTATTATAGCCTTAGGATGATTCGCCCCTTAAAGCAGCTTGCTTGGCATGGGCTTTTATTATAGCCTTGGCATGATTACTGATATAACTTTTTTAGAAGAAATCCTTCTGGTTACTTTTGTTAATATAAAGAAATGAATGTACCGAAGATTTTGACAAAATGCTTTTTCATTTCTTTAAAATTTGGGGTACATCAATCGTTGCGGTGACAACGAACTCTTGCAGCTCAGCAATGACTTCCTTGGAAATGGTGGCCTCTTCTTCTTCGGGAAACAATGCTAGCATGTCTATCACAGTTTGGCTTTTAATAACCTTAGGCGTCACACATATAATATCTAATTCGAAAAGTTGGAGCAATAAACGAGCCAAACGACGTCTAGCTAGTATAAGTCTAGTGAGCAAGTACCTTACAGTTCAGATTTTACCATAAGGTGCAGCTTGTGGGCTAGGAAATAGTGGCGCAACTATTGTGATGAGTAGACAAGACCTAGGTAAAGGCGTTCTGTCTTCTCATAGCGGGTTTTAGCGTCTCTAAGCTGTTTGTTGACATAGTAGATTGGTGGTTTTTCCCCAGCTAGACTGTCTTAGGCAAGGAGAGCTTCTGCAGTAGTACTTATTGCGACTAGGTAGAGCTTGAACGGAATACCCTGGACTGGTGTCTTCATTGTAGGAAGGATGGTGACTAGTTGTTGGACTCGATAGGCTTCATCGCATTCCTTAGTCTAAGCAAATTTATTCCCTTTCTTGAGCAATGGGGCAAAGTCTCATGTCGCTACTGCTAATACTAGTATGAAACGCCGAATGTAGGACAACTTCCCTATCAAGCTTTTCACCTCCTTTGCATTTGTCAATGGCTTAAGGGCTCCAATGGTGCGCACCTTGTCTAGATCTACATCGATGCCTTGTTGATGTACTAGGAAGCCTAGGAAGCCTAGTAAAGGTTTTTCAAATGGCATGTGGAAAGCCATTTTCTCAGCATCTTTAGTAGACATCTTGATTTGTTTGTATCAATTGAAGCCATCTATAAATGACATCAGGCCTTGCCCTGAGGTTGAATTGATCATGATGTCCATGTTGGGCAGTGGAAACTTGTCTTTTGGGCATGTTGCATTGGGATGCCAGTAGTCAATGCATATCCAGTTATGGACAATGTTCTTCTTCTTTACTGGGATGATGTTGGCTAGACAAAGAAGGTGTTTCATAGGCTTGATATCCGAACGCAATGAGCTTTTCTACCTCGACTTTAACTTTAGCCTCTATTTTCAGGTGGAAATTCCTCATTTGCACAGAGGGATCATCATTTAGGTTTACCTATCTAAGCTTTTCTGCCACTATAATGGATCCATCTTGCATGAATTTTGATGCAAGCATGATCTTATACAAGGATTCGTCCTCGGTAGCAAGTGCAGACATGTCTTTAGTTTCCTTAGGAACTTCACTTGCTTGGCATGCAGTGTCTCCATACTCGGGGTTTTCCCACATAATGTGGTCAGGCCCCCTAAAACTGTAAACAACGCAACCGTCAAGAATCATAACCTCGCAGCATTGAGGTGGAATATAGGCAAGGATATTGGTCTCTGGCAGTCTGCATTTTCCATTTTCCACAGTGGCTAGGAATTTTTGGGCACTGAGATCTCGACCTTCTTCCCAAGGGGGCAGTGGTACCCCTTAGGCTTGTGATACCCCACTTTCGGCACTTGAGAAATCATTATAGAACTCGGCATCATAATAATGAACTTCATCTAGGCTGAACAACATCTGGTTTCCCAAGATGCGAATAAGCCTCAGACAATTCCTTCCCTTGATGCACTGGTGGTAGGCGGAGACCACGAGTATGTGCTTGTTTATCTATGGCCTTCCAAGCAGAGTGTGGTAAGCCACGTCGATATCTATCACATAAAACTTAGTAAATGACCTGATATGGCTAATCTTTAAGTCGATCTCAATGTATCCAATAATTTCCTCACTACTGTTCCCAAACTCATTGATAGAGATTTGAGACCTTACCACCTTTGACGTTAGGACGTTTACTGCAGTGAGCATTGCCAAGGGCAGAATGTTGATGAATGAACCAGTGTTAACCAAGGCTTACATGATAAAAACATCTTAATTTACCTTCCAGGTACAGTATCCTTCAGTGGTTAGGGAAAGCCATTTCCATGTCTTTGTTAGTGAAGATGATGGCGTTATTGTTATCAACGAAAGCCCTCTGCAGCTGGGCAGCATAGCATTGAATGTCATAGTCCTTAAAAACACGTATGAAAGCTTTGGCAGCAGCAGTCCTTACTTCTAGGCCATATTTGAGATGGTCGAAGAGGGATTTGAACTTTGAATTCTTCTGGAAAACCTGTGCTGCAGTGGGTCTTTGCCCTTAGGAAAGGTAATGCTCTGCTGCGTTGGCTTCCATGTAGGGAAGGCTATACAAAGTCACAGCCATCATTTCCTGGTTAAACAATTGCTTTTCTGAGGTTTTCTCGTTGTATCCTTTAGGCATATCAATGGTGAAGACCTCGTTATTTAGGTGTGGAGAAAAATTCATGAGATTTGCATCTTCATATCCCCATCCTTCAGCTTAAGGCCATGGTGTGTCATAGCTCTGTGGCTTGGAGTATTTGCACTAGTAAGTTTTCTTCATGTTCCTGGAAGATTCCCAAATAGCTTCTGGTGGCTTAGGATTATTCATCCATGGGTGGTAGTCATCGTCATCTCCAGAGCATGTAATGACAACTGCTACCTCTTTCCCTCAATGTTTTGGCAGAGGGTCAGTATCTATGGTTTGCTTTTTGCATGGCAACTCTAGCGTCCCTACGCAGATTTTTGTATGGAGAATTTTCAGCAAAGTTTGGCATACAATGGAAGGATGTCCCACATACTGATGGTAGCGACAGTACCTGAGATCTTTTCTATATTTTCTGGAAGGGGCTTTGTACGAGCAGGGTAGCTTAATGGCCCTATCTGCGAGCATGGTATCAAGGATGACTTAGAATTCCTCGTCGTTGCACTCTAGTAGAGGGTAGGTTTCCCTATCACTCTCTCTCTCTTTCATTTTCTGTGGGTTGTAGTCAAATCTGTCATCCACAACTAGGGCATGATAAGTTTCCTTTTTATCAGTTTTCTAGGATCTCCTTATGGAAAGCTTGACTGACAAGTTAGTCTTCATCACTGCTTCCAGAGCCTTGAGATCTAGCAGATACCAATATTCTCCAAGTACACCCTATAGTTAGCGACAATGTTGCTAATGCAGATCTCTACAATAGCTTATTTATCGTTATAGCAATCAAGGGCGAGGTCTCGAAAACATTTGATAAAAGTCACCAGATCTTCCCCGTGCTTTTGGTGTGTATTGTTGAGTTTAGTAGTCATGAACCTTTCCTTATGCAGGAAGTTCTTTTTACAGAACTTGCTTGCCAGCTCTTCCCAAATCTGGATGAAGTTTGGTGGGAAGGTGGTGTCCCAAGTATATGCACAATCAATTAGACTTTTCGAGAACTTCTTAAGACAGAGGTTGCAGTCACCGGTATGAGGACCCAAAGCGTCAATGAAAGGGCTTATATGTTCCTTAGGGCTGCCCTTCCTCCTATCAAATAGAACAAGGTTAGGAGTCTCGTATCCTTTAAGATATGGCATGTGGAGAACGCTGGTTGGATATGATGGCTCAGGAACATATTTTTAATCCTTTGAACTCCTATGTAGCTCATTTTCGAGTATGGCTATGACGTCTTCCTGAGTGACAAAAGATGGTGTTTTCTCAAGACCTTTGTCAACAGCAGCAGCTGACTCCTCCTGGGAAGCTTTTTCTCTGGGTGTGCAATCCTTATTACTAGCTTTCTCGCTTAGCTTCGGGATTGAGTTTTTCAACTTTTTCACGGATGCAACAATTTCTTTTTGAGCTTCACCTAAGGCATGAATGGTTGCAATGATGTTCGACATGTCATATTTGTCTAGGTTTTCCTAGCTTTCCTGGTGTTGGCCTTCGTGTTGAGACTTGTTGAGTCGGGAAGCAGTCTGGCCTACATTTGAGGTATTGCCACTCCTGGTAGTGTTTTTTCTTGATCTTGGAGTCATTGAATCAAGATTACAACCTATCCTCAGTGGAGTCACTAATTTATGTTAGAGGACTTTTTAGGTCGAGGTGGACTTGGGG